GCTCGATCTAGATTGAGACTAAGGCAAATTATGACAGTTGTCGCGTTCTGGATACTAAGAGCACGAATATCACTGTCTGCTACCGGATACTATGATATATACCGATGATTGGAGTGCATACAGATGGCTACATAAACTTGTTGATATGCATCGTTTCGTTGTCCACAAATGGCATTTTGTGGATCAAACAACCAGAGTGCACACAAAAGATACTGAAACTATGTGGTCGAGGCTGAACGAGTTTTTGCGACTTTCTCATGGCTCCAGAGATCGCCTTTTACGGAGCCATATAGATGGTTTCCTCTGATGTGTTCATTAGGATTTTAGAATCTCTGAAGCTCTTTCTAACCTTGAGAAGTTTTTTAACCATCTAAAAGAAGCGTGTTCACTTTAATTCTTCGATTCTGTATAATATATTTTTACTCTATACTGTTTTCTATTTGGCTAATATTTCTAAAGGTCACATAAGATTCGTTCAAAGGTCGTCCATAAGTTATAGTCTCCCCGATAAATTCTATAAATTAGACGAAGAAAAGATAAGACTTTTAAATGATTCAGCTATAATTTTACTAATAACATTAGAGATGGAATACTTAACGCATACCTCAAAATTATTTAATCTTTGTTCATAATAGTTTGAACCTTGTTTCCAAACCCTTTATTGAGATTTTCTATTCAAATTCAATATTCTAGAAAATATGATTACTGTAGGTGTAATTTATTGCTTTAATTTCATGCTTCTGTTATTGAATCTGTGGGGATAGTCTTTTTTATTTTTAAAAGGTATTTACCGAAGTTTATTTTATCCATTATCTCTAGTATGTATCCGTCTAAGACTTTGTCTATGTAAATCCGGCTATGTTATTCCCTTACTAAGTGAGACTTGAATGCTACGTTTAAACTTAGAATTGTACTGATAAATTTGTAACACAGACTGAAGTTTTCTGTATGCTGTTTTTAAACTACTGTAGGGAATTTAGAAAAATTTTCGACATCCCACATTAATGTGGGATCTCGGTCAGTTCATATAAATAGTCTATCCAACATTCGTCACAATTGATGAGAACGTATATCCTTTCAAACTTTGAAAGCCATATTGCATTATTCAAACTTTGTTTTTACCTAGTTTGAAGTATATCAGTAATAAAAATATGAAAAATCATTTCATAAGTACCACTCAAGAATGGACAGTTTTAATGTATAATAACAAAGTTACTATATTTTAGTGGCTTATCTTCGTTAATCAATCACCGTTATTATATAAATCTCAAAGATGTTTGAAATCAAAAGGTAATAAGAAGCGGCAACTACAGTTTATTACTGGATAGCACAGGTCACAAGGATACAAGCACATTGAGAGAGTTTGAAGCAGAGAGGCTAATATGTGTGTGAAAGCAAATATAGAGGTCAATTTATAGTCAAACGGAATCAATGCGCAACTACTAGACAAGCCAAACGCTAATATTAGGATTCGCGTACATATACACATAGGAAATAGAATGATTCATCAAGCGATAGTTAAGCTATCATCATTTTAGCGAGAGCGAAGTATGTCATGTGATCAAGAGTACGTGTTTATACAGACAAGATAGTGATCATAGTAATGCAAAGAAACGGACCTTCACTTCCACAGTAATCATTCACTGTTCTCCTTCTATTTCCTTTAATATTAACCTCCTTCCACTAGATGTTTCACTTTCGATTGATAATATATACTACTTATATCTGTTGACATTAGTAGCACACATCACACTTCCGTATGAATTTTGAAATGGTAATCTTTTATTTGGTGTTTTAGTTTCGACAGTAATTTATTCTCATAACTTTCCTATAAATTCCAAATACATTGGTTCATATTTGTTAAATTACCACACATTTAACAAAATATACGTTAAGTTCTCGATATGAATATCTTCGATGATTCATAGATTATGACTGATTGACAAAATAAATTATGACTATCATTCGATATTATTCCAGTTATAAATTGTATATTGTAAGCTGGCTATAACTGATTCATTATTGATGCTGTTAAACTTTTCTTGTGACAATTGGGATTATTCCTAATGAATTACGTGATAGTGTGATGTGAGCTCATTATATTTACATAAGTGGTATATAACGATGGTCAGACATAGAATGTATTTCAGTGGAAAATCGATAGGGGAAGAACGGGAACGAAGAGTAATTGGTATGAAACTGCAGGAACAATGAAATCTGAGACGATAGACTGATATTTGCAAAAAAAAACAGTCATGTTTAAGACAATTGATTGATATTTTGGAAATTAACTATTTACTATATGGTTCTCAGATTTTAGTGAGATGTTCTGTAACTTTGTGCTCAAATACATTCGACTGTTCTTACTCGTGTTCTTTTTGATTAAAATAGTTGTGTCACTCTCATAGAATGATCAATAATGGCTAAAATGTAACTATACATTGAATAGCTCCACTTTGCGTTGATTGGCTAGTAACATATATCATTTACTTTACCTACCTAAATACTTTAGAATTTATTATTAAATGATGGAATGTTATTATTAATCTTATGGGCTTTTATTATGATTATTATTTCTTGTGTGATTGTAAACAGATGTCACCATTAAGTTTATTTACATTTTGAAATTGAGTTACTAATTGGTTTGTGTTTTAAAGGTAAAGCTATTCGTCATAATATCTATTAGATGTCACAATAACGTGGATAGGACTAACGTAATACCTTGAATTAAATGTATCATATAAAAACAAAGTAGTAAATTAAATTCTAATTTACACAGTCATTTTTTCATAAGGTTAGCATTTTGATTTAGAAGAAGAACCATTTACTGAGGTGAATGTTTTAATCTTAAAGCTTTCATTATGTTTCTAGGCGATATCAACAGCACATAATTGATATTGTCTAAAAAGATATTAAAAGTTTCATAGGTATACAGTCCATTTCTTTATCCTCAGAGATGATAATCCTCTATAATCTCAAGTGGATAACAAACATTTCAACAATATGCACGAATGGTATAACTGTAAAAAAAGTATCCAATATATTGGAAACTTAGGAAATACAATAGAAGTTATAAATAAGAGATCATTGAGTTTTTCAATTATTCAAACAAAGTTGTTTAAATAATATTGAATTCTTTTAAAATTTATTACGTTAAATGTAAAAAGGAAATGAATTAAGTGATTTTGATCATTATCCTGAAGAAGTTCAGACAAGTTTGTTGGACGAAACGTTGGAATTATTTAAATTTCAATGGCTGTGATCATTTTTCTATACTTGGTGCCAAATTATTGTTGTTAAACTATTCGTTCTAATCTTGACGAATATTTGTATAAAATAATAATAATCATGATGTGTTTAAGAATGGTATATAGTGAGACAGAATAGATTTTATTATTACAGTTAAATTTTGTAATCTATCTCTTTATGTATGAAAATACGTAACATCCATTAACACATAATTATACAAACAAAACACAAGAAAAGATGTTGTAATTAACTTATTAGATGATTGTTCTTGAAATATATCTCAGTTCTCTGAATATCTAATGTGATTGAATCCCACTTGTGATATCATGAATGTTCACAGCTAAAGAGTTCCATACTAGCATGAAACGAATGTTCAGTGTTTCCAGGTATCCAATATTAGTTTAACATCGGTCGATTCATGATATCAACCAAAAAAAGATAATTTCATGTAAGAGTTTATGGTCTTGAAGTAAAACATGTAACTGACGATAATAATTGTTTCTGACATTTTGCAAACAATATTCAATTTTAATGGTTGAGATCATGAGTCATTTGAATTTAGACACTCATGAGCCCCTAAATGCCCTGATACGGCCAAGAGAGGGGATGGCCAGCTCTCTCTAGATGCTTTCAAGTGGCCACGTGCATATAATCACTACCAGGGAAGTCCTACTTACTGCCTTCTCGCGGTATTATTGTTGTTTACGAAATTAAGAGGACGAAAAGCTAATGTCCGGCATTTTACTCGCATTAGTGGACACGGATGATCCATCTAGAGGAGTTGGAAAACCCTGATTCCAAACCAATGGTTTACATGTGTTCCACGATCCTAAGGAAAGAAATGACATATGAACCAATTGTTGATCACCGGCTACCATGGGACTGCATGTACTGACGTTGCTTCACTACCTTGTGGATCAGACCTTCTGGTCAAAAGCTGTGGTTTGGCCTCCTACGAAAACCACCTACTTCGGTTTGAACACCGGGCAGCATCCAAGCTCTCACATAAATTGGATGATTTATGTTGCGCATATTAATTTGATGCCTCCTTGTATCAATATTTATGTTTTTATATAAATAATAAATAAATAATAGACCACCATGGAAAACCTGATAGCACTAGACAACTTTTCCTTGGTGGTCTAACTTCAATTAACTCATGATTTCAATTATTAAAATCACTATAATATCTACAAACTCCTTTTGATAATATTCAGTTTGTGAGCTAATAATATATCTGTTATATTTGATTGTCGTTGATTGCTGTGCCGGAAAAACGTTGATCACTTATACTCGGAATGAGGGACCTCGGCAATTCCCGCGATGAGAAAGTAAGAACACAAGACTGATATAAATGAAGATTTATTGGCCTCAAACACTATGACGACGACGAATCAAAATAGTCTAAAATACACTGGTTTATATATTGATTGTACACCCGTTTTGATTAATAATTATGATTAAATCACATACTCAGTTATAACAAATCACTTACTATGCATAGTTCATGTCAACTGAATACAAGAATATCGTATATTATACCGAAGAAAATATCATACTGGGAAAACCAACTCAAATACTACACCGAAATAATCCTCATGTTGGATTAGAAGAGAAATACTGTTGAACGAAACTCATAATGAGTAAATCAATAGAAAATTGACTTTTCTTTCCATCATATCAATATCTCTACTATCTAAGTCAATCATTCATTTTAATCTTTTGTTTTTTTGTTTGTTTCATCATTTTAGATTTTCAAAGTATAATGTTCCTACATAACATGATGAACTCTTCCTAAACCATATTCTTAAACGAAAACAGCGACGACAACAACAACAAAAACAACGACAAAATTAACAACATCAATAATCATAATAACAACAATCATTATTCATGTCTTTAATGACAGCTGATTTATCAAATCAAATTCCAACTGTATTAATAATGTTAGGTATTATATGTTTAATTGGAATATTTGGTAATACACTTGTAATAATTGTATATTCATTAAAACAAGATCGTTTAACAGCTACATTATTTATACTTATATTAGCTATATCAGATTTTTTAGCATGTATTACCTTGATACCTGGTACAATGATTATAGAATATGTTGAATGGAATATTGATTCAACATTTTTATGTAAATTTTATTATTTTATAAATAATACTTTTATACCATTCAGTAGTTTATTAATTAGTTGTATAGCATTTGATAGATATTTTTGTTTATGTCATCCATTTAAAAATATTTTAACAAGAGAACGAGCTAAACGTGTCATTTTAATATTGATTTTTATATGTATTATATTAGGATTTAGTTCAACATTTACTGTTAGAGTTGAACAAGTTCATTTTGATACAAATATAATCAATAATAATAATGATAATAATAATAATAATAATCGTCATAGCAACAAAACTATAGATTATAATTCAACTATCAAATTTGATTATTCATTTAATTCATATTATAAAAGTGAAAAATTTGAATGTACAGAAATATTAAAATTAAATCATACAATGATAGAAACAGTTCTATATCAGATTGTACAAAAAAGTCAAACATGCAGTTATATTTTATGCATTCTCTGCGTCGTTACACTTTATATATTGATTTATCGTTCAGTATCAAAAGTAAGTTTAATCTTTTGTTTGTTTGTTTGTTCTTTTTTTTTTCATTTTGATAATATCATCTTTGGCTTACTTTATGAATGGTGTTTATCGTTGGGTTTTACTGAGGTTTTTCTTTGAAAAAAAAAATGGAGATGATTGGAAATCAGTCATTTGCTATGTTCAGTTTGACTATTTCATAACAGATAACAATAATTTATACGAATATTCGTCAAGATTAGAACGAATAGTTTGACAGTAATTGAGCGCCGAGTATAGAGAAGTCATTATATGTGTAAATTATATTTGAAATAGTCTCAGCGATTGAAATTTAACTAATTCCAACGTTTCGTCCAGCTAACTTGTCTGGACTACTTCAGGGTAATAATCAAAATCAAAATTATCAAAGAAATATATAGCTTTTAACAATCAGGATTATACTGCGTTAAACCAATGGAGTTCAACCAGGTCTGTTGTGAGATATCAGCTCACTGAAGACATTGGTGTTCGATGGCGCAACTTCGTGGATTGGTTGAAGTTAGACATTAACACCGTTGGATGCCGGCTCAGTGGTCTAATGGTTAAGTGCTCGCGCGCGAAGCCAGTAGGTCCTGGGTTCGAGCCCCGCGTGGTGCGGGATCGTGGATGCGTACTGCTGAGGAGTCCCATACTAGGACGAAACGGCCATCCAGTGCTTCCAGGTTTTCAATGGTGGTCTAGCTTCAACTGACTCATGATTTCAACTTGTGAAATTTACTAAAATCTCCACAAAACTCATTCTGATAATAAATTGTATTGTTTAAAAACTCATTCAGTTCTTTCAAAAATAATAACGATGCATGTGATATTAAAAACAGGTTTAAACAAGAGATAGGTTCCAAATTTACTTGTCAAACGAAATTTGCCAGGTAGTTGCCATTTGAATACCATCTTTTCGGTTCAGGCTGTTCTTGTTCGCCCATATATGCAGAGCTTCTGCTGTCAATCTTTCTTTATGGGTGTTAAAACCTTTCTGAAGTATTTTGGTCCCTTCAAAATTAATCTTGTGTCCTGTTTCTAACGCATGTAACGCTATCGCTGACTTATTTTCAAGTTTCTTTAAATCTACCGAGGATAATGTTTAGCTTAAGTGGTTTAATTTAAGCGCATTTATGATCTGGTTAAACATGTGCTGGTTAAATGGGTTATACAGGGTTACTAGTAAATTGTGGGTAATTATTAACAGATTATCCTAAATTATTATCATTGTAGTTTAGAAACAACACTGTGAAAGTCTTGACATAATACGACTTTTATACGAACTTAATAAAATCAGTTCTGTCTTTCCACGTTGTGGGGAACATGCAAGTGATAACCGCCCTCATACCTTTAACAGCACTCAAGACAACTGTATTCATAATCAACCTCCCTAATTAACTACTTTTATGAATCCGGTGTCCATCTTGTTGTGTTAATGAGGTATGGCAACTTGAACCGATGCATATATATGCCTGGTCCTACGTTGTAGCTCACTAACTGTATTTTTATGAAATACCTGCAACAAAAAATTCGATAGTTTTCATCGGTTCATTTAATAAGATAATGAAGTCACATTGTAGGAGATGGTAATTAACTTTTGTGTTCACATCAATAACATAATTTTCAGATAATTTTTGAATGCAAAACATATCAATGATTATTTTTGTTTATTGGCAAACTGTGTTCACACTTCAAATCCATAGGACAGACGTTAAGTTTTTTCCCATTCAATCATGAAGTTGCAAACTAATCAATTTATGCTGATCAAGATGAAGTGTTGAAATACAACAGATGATTTAAATACAATGTTGTGAAGTCATGAATATCTACCTAAGAGCCTAAGTTCTCGCTGGTAACATGATAACTGTGAAAAGAAAATTCATGAAGATCATGTGTTGAATCGTGTCAGGTTTTTGGTGTGGAAATATATTTACATTGTGGTCAGGCTAATCACGTGTCCTTGATCTGAATTGTGTTGAAGTCCTATAGACACTGGAAGAGAATCTAGTGTAGATAAGGGCGGCCTGCTTGAGCATCTGGGCTACCTGTTCAACAAGTTATCTATTGTTGTTTGTTTTAATATATCATTATGTTTATTAATCGCATAACCTATTCTGCTGCGTTTCTGAAAAGTGTACAACCTTTCGTTGTCAAAGTTACAGAAAACTCAATAAGAGACAATATGGTTGCTGGCAATGTACAACGAAAAGAATGTACATTATTCAGTTGTTCATTCACTGAAGTGCTAACATCTAACTGGCGATTCCTCAATATTTATCGCCAGGACCGACCAAGAAGAAAGAAACGGAAACTTGTTGAAATACTTTGCGCTGAGAATTCTATATTGTACCAAAATTATAATATTGAATAAAGCTAATAATAATAATAAAAATAATAAAAATATTCGTTTAAGGTAAATTAACGTCCCCTTCGTGCATACGCGTATACAAAAGGAACTCAACCGCTATAATACAAATTTATAACTCTACCTAAGAGCCTAAGTTTTTTTCTGGTAACATGATAACTGTAAACTGTAAAATCAGATATCAGATAGTCAGAAATCTTCGACTATTGAATCAATCAAGTAAGCTAATCAAATCTAAACATGGAGTTTATTGGTACCATCCTTCCTAGCATAGTCTACTATTCCATTACTTATGCAGACGTTAGTTATACGTGTATACCATTTTTCAACTAACAACCAACTATAAGGCTTATCATTTTACCATTTTGTTTATTTTCTTTTCGTCTGTTAAATATGCGGTAAAAAAGTTTTCTCAATTTATCTAATCAATATTTAAACAAAAACAAAATAAAAACAGGTTGGGATAAAATAATGAAAAAATTATTTTACGTATGTTCCAGATATTTGGTTAATTTTAATATGGTTTTATTGATAATCAATAAAGTAAACACATTTACAATCATAGAAATCTATTGATCATATAATATGTTTATATTATTTTGTTTTGTTTGTGCGTTTGTTTGTTTGTTCGTTTGTTTGTTTGTCTACAAAGTAAACAAACATAAAATTTCAACACATAATCTATTGAGTAGAAACTATGATCAAAATGAATCTTAGTTTTATATTATTAACGTGATTTATAATAAAATAGATGTTAACTATTAGATAGAATAAGATAGAGATAAGTAACTAACACTTAATGATGTTGAAAATATATGATGACTCAAAATGACCACAAAAAAGAAGGGTCATTCTCAAATAAATTGAATTTTAATTATCTGGGTTACATTTAGAAGTATTTATGAATTTTTTTAAGTACTATTTATCTTCAAAGGTTATTGTTACTAACTGGAACCTGCTGAAATACACGTGTTTCTATGTAGTGGAAATATGTACTACCATCATGATATGTCCGGCGCTCTAACCGGATCCTAAACCAATGGTGCATATGGGCTCCAGTATCCTGCGGGAATAAATGGCGTATGAATCAATTTTTGGTCACCGGCTGATATCCAGTGGCAACACCATGTTAGTAATGCAGAGGTTCGGTATCGTGTGTTCGGGCACACAGATGATAATTCACTTGGTGTCACCATCTTGAAACACCGACTTCGGTGGCTTGGACATGTTCTACGAATGTCGTATCAGAGAATTCCACGTCGTACATTAATTGCCCACTCTGGGACTGGTTGGAAAAAGCGGAGAAGTGGTCAGTGTATGATATGGTGTCGTGGCAAGAAAGAAAGCTACAAAGGGCTAGCTTCTATTGGTCCTTCACGACTCCCTGGCTGTAGTCCGAGAGATGGTGCGAAATAATGGTTAGAGACGTTATCAGACATGGCTCAGAATAGAAACCAGTGGCGATCTTGCTGTAACCTTTTTTTACTTTCTTCATAAAAAGTGTTTGTAACTTCTTTAACTGAAAGATCTCTTCTGATTGTACCATTCTGTTTCCCCCATTATTACTATTATTATTACGCTACCTTACACTAATCTGTTCGTTATTGTTCTCTTTTTTACGCTCCTCACCTTCTTCTTCCTTCTTCTCTTCAAATTCTCATAGTTTTGTGTGGCGCATATACATTTGGTGCCCTCCTGTACTAATACATATGTGTTCAAATAAATAATAAATAAATAAAATAATTTCACAGGTTGAAATCATGAGTCAGTTAAACCTAGACCACCATTGAAAACCTGGAAGCACTGGACGGCCGTTTCGTCCTAGTATGGGACTCCCCAGCAGTGCGCGCTGCTGAAAATAAAATAATCATGATATACAAAATTGTTGAGTAATACCAGAGATAGTTTATGATTTTATATGTTTTTGTTCTTAAGGCTTTCATTGCATAACTGAGAGAATCGTTACAGAAAAAATATTTCTTGTAGACTATTATATGGTAATTGATATTTTTACATAGCTATTGAATTTCACGTAATTAAACATGTTGACTTAAAACTGGAAAATAGTTATAATTACGTTACGTTTATCATTTCGTTTAAGCCTGTTGAACTACGAAATAAGTTCAGCATTGTATTTTACATCATTATCATTTGTCGTTGAGTAAATGATTAAGAAGAACTATTAAAAACTTGTTGTTCACCATCAATTGTTTATGCTTCAAGATGTTACCTACTGAAAATATAATTAATCAATGGAAATTGATATAGATAAATCTAATACTTGCATTCATAAAATATTTGTCAGGTTTCTCTTTGTACCAATACCGTTTAACTTATTTAAAGCCCAGTCCTTCATTTTCTTTAGTTTAATTGATAAATACGTCTTTCAAGGGATTAAAACATTAATAATCCAAACCGTTTAACCGTTTAACATTTACTTACTTACACTTGTTACTCCTCATGGTGGTGCATAGGATACTCACCAGGATTCTCCATTCAACTCTGTTCTGGACAGCCCTTTCCAGTTCTTTTCAGTAGCTATTCATCCTTTACATGTCCTCTTCCAATTCCCGATGCAGTGTGTTCTTTGACCTTCCTCTCATTCATTTCTCTTCAAGATTGCAAGTTAGCACTTGCCGCGTGTTGCAGTTTGATGATTTCCTCAATGTGTGTTTTATCCGCTTTCAACGTCTTTCTCTAGTTTCCTCTTCGTTTAGAAGTTGGTTTGTTCTCTCCTAACGGGAAAAAATTACATTCGCTTAAGTTTTATACTTAATGTATAAATGAGAAAAAAATGCAAGTTAATTTATCAGTTTGATAAAATATTTCCTTTGCTATCAAGTATACCTACTTTTATTGGTAAAGAATACGTATTATCAAAAGTGAATGATGAATAGATTACTGAGGGATGTATTTATAGAAATCGTATATCTTCAAAATTACCTTCGTTAATTTTTGTTGTTTATTCAAACCAAAAAAAACCTCGTCAGGTCAATATGTCTGGTAAATTCCAAATGTTCCGTTTTATCTAATTGACAACTCTGAACAATTCTGAGTGCTCGAAACATTTTTTAGAGGTGGTAGATTGAAGTTCTATTTTTAAAAGGATCCCACATATATTTCTGGTTTTCTCATTATAACTCGTAAGAGAATTTGTAATAACCAAATGTGCATGAATGTTTGGTTTAAATGTATTCATGAAACATTTGATAATTAGTAATATATTTTGACTCTTACTCGGAAACCTAACAGTCACTTTCTTATGTCTTTACATAACATCTATAGAATAGAGGTAAACCATCAATTCACAAATAACGTTTAACACTGCTTAGTGAATTACAATGGTATAACCTTATTTTGTATTTAACATAAGGTAAATAATTTTTCGGGTATATGCAACCTTTATCTAGAACATGTATATACTTGTTAACTTTGGCTTTTGACTTGCCGGAATGTATTAAATTCACGATATTATTATCACTTTTAATTATCGCTAGTTAGTTAATTAACACTATGAAATGATAATTTACCATGAGTGTATATAAACGAGAAATTCATTTACGCCCTAATATAGAAATAATGAAGTTGAAGGTGTAAAATTAAAAAGAAAACAACAAAGACTTATGTGGGGACGGCCCACGGGTGAACTTGAAGAAGCTCTAGGAAGGTCAGAAATAGCTGATGACATTCCACCAAGTCATCTAATGAAATAATATTCTAGAATCCCTAAGTATACCTCCCCTGTTGGACAAATGCTAAATACCACTGTATGCGGATTGAATGACTATAATGATGACAGTATTGTATCATATTTTACACTGTTTTTAAAATAGCATTCCTTCTCACTTGTCTTCTGTCTTCTCGTTTGCAACTTGTAGGATTCTAGCGTTCGAGTGCTGAAGTTGTAAGCGGTACATCAACAATCTAAGCTCTAAATATAAAAGCTATCATTTTTATGATGCAATAATTTGTTTTCAACAAGGGCTAAAATTATAGGCCGTTTCTTTTACCATCGATAGGCTAATTATGAATGAGTTGTGCGGATCAAAAAATGTCTAAAAGTCTTAGTATATATTAACATATCTTGTTGGTTTAAATCATTTTGTTCATTTATATCATGCTTGAAAAGAAATAAACTATGAAATGTATCATGCTCCAATTCATTGAAATAATAGTCATGACAGTTACATATATGTACTAAGAGTAAGACATTCACTTTATTCAGATAAACAAGAAAACTTTATTCTTCTATACAAGTTGAAATATAAGATTTATTGTCTGAGTTTTCGTTGATTCAATCCATAATTTGTCAGTGTTTATATTCTTTCTACTTTTAAACATTGTATGTTAGATTATCACATTGAATAGAGAATCTATTCTTGCATAGATTTTCATCCGTTTATTTCATTTACACGTTAGACTATTGAAATTGAGGTGTAGTGTCAAGATGAAAATGTATCGACTGTTATTTTTCAAAAATAAACATTACTGATTTCAAATGATATATGGATAAGTATATGTTCCAATAAACAAATTGAATATTGTGAGGATGGCCTACGAGTGAACTCGAAGAAGCTGGCGACATTCCATCAAGTCATCTATTGAAATAATATTCCAGAATCTATGAACACTTGACAGTTTTGTACTATATTTGGCACTGTTCGGAGTAGCATTCCTTTTCACTTGTCTTCTGTTTTCTCGCTTTCAACTTATAGGTTTCTAGCGTTCGAGTGCTCAAGTAGTACTTGGTATATCAACAATCTAAGCTCTAGATATTATATATATTATAGAGGAGTCGTGAAAAACGCACATATAAAAAGATAGAAACATCCACAATAAATTTGTTATTTGGCACTATTGCATAGTGTTAGTTTAAGCATGGAAAAGATCTAAGCTTTAAATTGAGACAAAATAAAAAAAGATTGTTGATGTCAGTGATGATATTTAAGCAGAAATGGATAGTCGCTAACAGTGGATTCCAAAAACGAGCTTTTCATCCTATGTGATACCCGTCAACTGGATCACCAAGATTATGAAAATCTTGAATGAATAAAGTAACTTATCATTGAGCTATCTGAGAGTTAATTTCTTCTTATGACATAGAGAATAATTTTCTAGTTCATCTGCTCATCATTGACATAATAAGATTTCAATCGTATTTCAGCGAAAATGTATCGCTATGTTTACTAATTTACTGTCCAACTATAATTTCAAATATAAAATAAGCATGTTGAAACTCAAGATCTGGACATATAACTAGACAAGATTTGAAGCACAATCTTCCAGTAAAATTACTATTTCACTTAAACTATAATAACATTTATATGTTGTTTCGTTAAGAATGCATCTTAACAATTTCTATTGGTACTAAATTACTTGAGTTGGACGACTGGCCAGTCAAATGTTGATCACCTTTCTAATGAGTATTATAGAAACTATCAGTGAATTCACATCATAAGTTAATTACTAACCAATAAATATGCTAAACCTACGTAGTTCATAAACACAATACTTGACACAATAGTTACGTACATTGTGCCGGCTTAGTGGTCCAGTAGGTTACGCGTGCGAATCCTGCGAGTGAAATCGTGGATGCGCACTGCCGAAGAGTCCCAAAATAGGACGAAACGGCTGTCCAATGTTTCCACGTTTCCGACGGTGGTCTAACATCAATCGGCTCATGATCTTAATATAAAAAAAGTTACGTACAGTGATTGACTGATTGATACATAGTAACATTAACATACCAACAATATTTCAATAATAGATATTCATCAATCATTTTCATGTTACCAAACAATATCAACACACATCATTGTCCACATATTACTAACATTTTGATTAAAAGTAATTAGAAATTTACATGTGACATTTTAATTAGTTGTTTTCTCAGTTATCTAAACAAAATCACTACATGAGAAGCAAAATAAATAACTTTTATTATTAAGTTAATAATAGAACACACGCTAGTTCAAGTGGATATTTAGATTGATATAGAAACATAATAAGCTATGTAGATGACAGGTAATTAAAATTAAACTATTTAAGAAAACGATGTTGTTATTCATAAATAATATTGAGAGGATATTTATCATATAGATTATAATGATGTATAGCAGGCAGAAACTTGAAACGTATAATTTTGAATATGAGAACTGAGACTTTTTGTTAAGTTATGAATAATGTATTGAAAGGATTTTTGTGTATATTATATTAATTTTAATAGTTGAGATCATGAATCAATTGAAGCTAGACCAACATGGAAAACCTGGAAGTAGTGGATGACTATTTCGTTCTGTTGTAGGACTCCTCAGCAGTGAGCATCCACGATCCCGTCTCATGAGTTTCCAACCCAGAACCTATCAGTCTCACGCGCGAGCGCTTAACCACTAGACTACTAAACCAGTATCTAATGCTGTTATTGTCTAACTTCAACCAATCCACAAAATCGAGCAACACATCCACCATTGTACTGAATGTATTATTATGGAAGGAATGAATTTATCTACAACTAGATATAAGAAATAGTGAAACACAAGATTCCACTGAACAATAACAATGTAAGATGGTATCATAGATCTATCGTTCTACATATTCGAGGTTATTTTAATAGGTAACATAATTTTCCACTTATTTTTTTTGTTTTTTTGCAGAAATCAATAAATGATTCAATTTGATCTATTAGAAACTGTCGAATTAAACTATTCAATGGTTATTTTAATTTATTTGTTTATTATTATTATTATTATCCAATAAAATCAGATCATTTTAGCGGTTAAAATGAAAATTGATCGAAATTAGGTCAAATAGTTGAAAGAGCTTAATTTTTTTGTTTCTGAGATTCATTCCTGTTAATTGTTCTTGATAATAATAAAAGAATAATTCTACAATAAGAACTAATGCTCTAATAGATTAATATAAAAAACGGGGTTTTGTCGAGATTGTAGTGGTTGAATTCATGAGTAGATTAAAGCTAGTTCACTATGAAAAACCGTGGATGCATTGTACGATTATTTTTGTCCTAGTATGAGTTCTATATTAGGACGAAACGGTTGTCCAATGTTTCCAGGTTTTTCATGGTGGTCTACCTTTAATAGACTCATGACTTTAACTATTTCTGATCAAAATCAGCATATGCTCAATAGTGACTGGCTTCATGAGGTATTTCTTGAACTTCTGCTAAGAATCAGTGACCAGTGGAGTTCATCTGAGTATGTTATGAGATAGTAACTCACTGAAATCAATGGTGGACATGTGGCTTAATTTCGTGAATTAGTTGAAGTTAGATATTAACAACTTTGAATTTCGACTCAGTGGTCGAGATGTTAAGCGTTCAAGTGCAAGTTCAATAGATATTAGGTTCGAGTCCTACGGGCAGGATCGTGAATGCGCTCTGCTGAGGAGTCCCATAATAGGACGAAACGGCTGTCCAATACTTTCAGGTTGTCTAGCTTCACCTGACTCATGAATTCAACCATTAAATTACTTGTTTACTTTTCATTATCTGATACACTGTTTTCTCTTTCTCTCATGTTTTTTTCTTCTTCTCAATTATTAGGTATTTAAAAAACGTTTAGAATTAAAAGGTGTAAAAAAAGAGAATAAAAAACATAAAAAAATCGAAAAGAATCATAAAAAAAAGAAAAATTGTGAATTTACATTTAGAAATTTATTTAATTATCAATCGAAAAAAATAAAAATATCCCCAATGAAATTAACATTAACAAATCAAGATAATCCATTCACTCAATGTGATGGATTCAATCAACATATAAATAATACTATAATATCTGAATCAAATTATACGGAAACAATGAAACCATTAAATGTTTTATCATGTAATACTATTGATATAAAAAATAATGAAGAAATGAATGATCCATCACAAAAACACGATCATCATCATCATCATCAACAACAACAACAACAACAGCACCACCACCACCATGAAGAACAACAACAACAACCACAAACAATGAAATCAAATACATTAGTTCCTATAAATTGTTGTCATAATACAGAATCAGTTATGATTCAACCAATTACATTAAATTATGAAACTAATTTAATTATAAATGAAGAGAAAACACGTCGTTCAATGAAAACCATCAAAGATAATATTGCATTTCAAAATTTAAAAACAGCAGCAATGTTATTTGTTGTAGCCGTTGTTTATATTGTTACATTTATACCAGCTATGTTAATGGCTATACAATATGTACCATTATATTTACCAATATTTTATTTATATTATATAAATAATGCAATTAATCCAATTATATATGGTTTTATGAATCCAAATTTTCGAGCTGATATACATTTACTTATTTGTCAAAAATTAAAATGTATATAAAATGAATATGAATGATACTTAACAATGATGAATAAAGTGAATAGATCATTTGATTCAATTTATATATTGTTGAATAAAAAGATCTAATCTTATTCTAAATGTATGGATCAATTCTTCTTTATTTGTATTTGTACATTCCTTGAATTGAGATTCGATATATATATAGAGAGTATTGTATTATTGTATTACATAATATATATGTCTATGTCTATTATATCCTAATTAATTGTATATAATGTCATACACGTTGCATATGACTTTATTATAACTGCAATAACAAATACCATTGTTAAATTACATATGTATCTAAACATAAATGTTATTTCATTACTATAAATCATAAAAAATTAGTGGAGACATTCTTTTTGTTCTTATGAACGTTAAACTAGTTGTTCTAAAAGCAATTCTGAAGTTTTATTCATTAGTAGGTAATAATGACTAGGTGTTATGACTTTTAAAGCAAAAATGTAACTAATTATGTATTTATCAAATACATGAAGTTGTAGAGATTGTTGAATTTAAAATGATATTATGATTGGATTAATCACAAAGCGCAATTGAAAACCTAAAATAAAACATCGGATGACCGAGACCGAAAATCCTGAATTCGAATCCAGTGTGCGGGATTGTGTATACACACTGCTGAGGAGTTCTATACTAAGACGAAATGACCGTCCATTGTTTTCAGATTCTCAATGGTGGTCTAATACTGACCCATTGATGATATCAATCTAGAATAAGATGTGTTCCTTCGTGGTCAGATTGAGAGGTAGATATAGATAGTCGGCTTAAACAAATCTTGAATTTCTTTTAAAGTCAAGTTTGCACAAATGTCTCAAATGTTCTAAATCGGTATAAATGGAGACCAGTAGTTAGATATCTACTGCTAAACTATACATGCACAATTTGCTAAGACAGTTCATTGTTTGATAAGATTAACATTATCGGAACACTAAGACTGGAAATACTATTAAAACTTCGACCACCAAGAATATACATTATGTAGAGACCTATTAAATTTCAGTGTTTATTGTATGTAAATGTTTGAGATAATATAGTCAGAGATTTTACCAAACGTTTTGTAAAATACAAGTAATTTCATGTGAATAAGGAAGTAGCCTTGAAACACTACCGCATAATATAAAGGATCATGTGTAGTATTGATAAAACATTAGTTTAGATGATTAACTTTGCAGTTCTACACCAAAAGATGTAAGCAATGAAAACGTTTGTGATAACATGCACCATAGATGGTCATTAGTAATAGTAGCTTCCAATTATTCCTCATCATATTTTGCCATTGTTCCGTGCAACCGGTTGGCTTGATTTTAATAGCAATAGAATAGTAATATGAGAATATTTTATCAATTGAGTAAGTAATATAAACAACAACTTCTGATTGTTACTTTCCTTAATATTGAATAATTTTTCATAATCATTAATTTCAGTCAACCAATTCAAGAATCATACTTTAATACATTTAATTATTCTCTTAGTAAATAATCGTTCGATTCAGTGATCTAAACGTTGGACGTTCGTGAGTGAGACCGAAATTCATGGGTTCGAGTCCTGCATGCAGGATCATGGATGGGCACTATTGAATGAAACGGTCGTCCAGAGTTTTCAGGTTTTTAGTGATGATCTAGCTTTAATCGACTCATGAATATAACTATTAAAGTAATCGTTCTCTTTTATCATTTTCAATAGTACCATAAAATTCAACAGATCAATGAACGTTCAGTATTGTTTCATTTTTTAGGTTTTGAGTAACTTCAAAAGAAGAACTATTTTAAAACCGAAATAAACTGATATGGATAAAGTAACACTAAACACTAAAACAAAAAAAATTCTAAATAATTCGGATTCATTTTCTCCCTTTTGTCCAGTCATGCAATATAACAATAAATCTTATAAGTATGATAACCATCCTATACGATTCATTTATTATTCGGTTTTAGACAAATTAAAACAAAATAAACATATTAAATTTCAAAGCATAAATTCAATATTAAATCAACAATTTTATTTGAATGGTTGATATTATGAGTCAATTGAAGCTAGACCACCGTGGAAAACCTGGAAGCAGTGGACTCCCGCTTCGTCCTATTGTGGAACTCCTCAGCAGTGCGCATGCACAACCCAGCCTCGCAAGGTTCGAACCCAGGACCTATCAGTTTCACGCGCGAGCGCTTGACCTCTAGTTCACTGAGCCGGCATTCAACTGTGTTAATGTCTATTTTCTTTATTCAAAGATATTAACCATAATTCATGTTCAAATAATGGATTCTGTAATAGTTTAAGCTGTAAATTATGTAATTCTCATTGATGTTTCTTCAAATAATTTACTAATATGTTCTTATTAATTACATTAACAAATATGTAAGAACAATAGGAACAATATAGGGGAAGATTTGCATGCATATAATATACAATTCTCTTTGAACCTAGCATAAAACAATACCATCATGTACTGTTCCATCACTCTTGGAAAATCAAGCAATCCGAAAGTCACGAGAACAACATCAGGGTATACAACAGACTAGGCACCACTATATGTTCTTATTAAGTACACTAACAAATATGTGTGTTTTACATTGTTTTAATTGAAAGTACACTCTAAGTCTTATATGATGATATCAATTTCTTGTTTATGTTTAAATCATAAACCATCAAAATGATGAGTTGAGAGTAAATAAAAAGTTACATGATATGTTGATTTTGTTCGTATTTTACTATGATTTCGACGAAATGTCTAGGGTCTTTCTAAAAAACTCTTTTAATCAAAATTCATATGGATGATAGTTCCATAGAGTAACCTAATCTCAAAATAGATCACAATATAAAAAGCTTTATTTACACTAATTATTAGTTTGTTTCTTCTACTATAGTTTTATGTGATAATGAATTATGATTATTAAACTAAGTGAATTGTCATATTCACTTGGTGCTATTTTTACTTGTATCTCCTCATTGTTATGTGCATCCTGTGCGGATTGCCTTGATATAATATTCAGTCACTAGCTTTTTAAGCAAAGATTGGTAGTGGCTAGCAGTAGAATCCAGGATGCGCGTTTCGTTCTATTTGGGATTCGTCAGCCGGATGTACCTGCATTCTGGAGTTGATGTTCACTCTTGGACTCGAACCCAGTACCGTTCTCTTCAAACGCCAACAAGAGACTGATCAATTGCAGTTCTAAATAACAATTGGAAGATACAAGTAAAACAACACCAAGTGAATTTAAACTTCACCATATTGCACTGGTAGGTGGCCATTAGGACTCAGTAGCTAAGTGAATAACACGATTGCTTTTGAAACGAATAGTACTGAATTCGAGTCCTGGAATGAACATCAACTCTTGGATGCAAGTACATGCAGTTGACGAGTCCCAAATAGGACGAAGCCTGCTTCCTGCATTCAACTGCTAGCCACTATCCATCTTTGTTTAAGCAAATTATTATTGTTGTGAAATCAGATGAACTAAATCATGATTTAATCATATCCACTAATCATTTAGTATACAAATTACATTCATTCATTTCTTGAATATTTTTAAGGTATTATTATTCAAAATTACTAGATCAAAGATGATCACCATTAGGTTTAATATTTCCAAAAACAAAACTGTACTAAATAAATGTAAAACATTGATTCCTAAGTAATCTGACAAACTACTAAAATGAAGAAAATCACTTAGTAAAATCTTAGACTCACTTTGAGAAGTTCCGCAATAAAAAGTTTACCTATGTTTACAACAAAGTATTTGTTAGATAATAAAGATCGTTTGATTTTTGTCTAGATAGAGTTCTAATGTCACGTTATGTGGATACTAAGTGACTGTAGTGGCTTTGTTTCTTTAATCGATCACCTTGATAACCGTGATAATATAAATCTCAACGGTGTTTAAAATCAGAAGGCAATATGAAATGGCAACTACAGTTTACTAACGGATAGTGCTATATGCAAATCGAGCGAATGTGAAGTAGAGATGCGAATAAGTCATATATGGGCAAATTTATAGTCAAATTGCATAAGGGCGCAGCAAGACAAAGCAAGGACTAATAATAGGATTTGAGTACATATATACATTGGGAGAAGAATGAATCATCGAGTGATATTTAAGTGATCAACATTTTAGCTAGAGTGTGCCATGTTCTCCAGTGATCATAACGATACAAAGAAATATGCGAATTGTTACTGTTCAAATAACATTGTTTGTTAAGTAAGTTAATATAAGGGCTTAGACAAAATTAACCACAACCTTGGTCTAACTCTGATATTATTTAATACAAGTATCTGACGCTATCCTATCGGAACGGTAGTTTAATTAAAACATTTTTTGGTTCTAGTCATATTCGTAATAGTTCTAATTATATTACTCACTCACAGATTAGTCGATTGACTTTACATACAGCGTTTTCAAACCGTGTGATATGTATAACAATATGCTTTTAGTAATTCAGTGTTTTTACTCATTTCTCAGTAAAAATGCTTAGAGCATTGAGTAATGATAATGCGGAGGCCCGTTAATTTTGTCGTCATTTATATCGTATGAATGTTTGTTATCGCCTATCTTCGTATATGATCATCGACTTAAATCATGTTAGTCAGTAACGGAATTTATTAAGTCAAATAACGAGAATGAATTTTTGAATACATATATTTTGTATGTAAAGTGAATGGAATAGAACGAAGCAAAACGACGCGCAGTGGAGATGGCGGATAAACCAACTCCCCTTTAACCAAGCGTTAATCAATAATTTAAGTTACAAAAAGTAAGGTACAGACATGTGATGAGTAATGGGATATGAAGTGTACGCGCATACACGCTCATATAAAAACAGTCAAGACTGATAAGCGAATAATTAACAAAGTCAAAATGTGACTCAAATAGAATGAATGAAATGGTCTGTCCGAAAGCTAGAATAAGTTATATGGGCTTAACATAATAACCGACACTACAATAAAATACGCTATGACACAATACTGAAATTAATGTGTTTACTTTAGTAACGACTAAAGTACGATACCTTGATTGAAGTTATTATACTGAATAAATGATATGAATGAATATACATCGAAGGAAGATGATTGAGTTTGTATACAAATATGTACATTATATTCTAAATATCATTCATTACACGAAAACATTATAATTAAACAATTTTGAAAACTACTTTTAGTAGAAATGTTTATTCATCTTCATTCAATGAATGATTTCTTAAGATCATTTTTGTTTATGAAGGATCTGTTGGGTGAAATAATTCAAGGAATACTTATCACATGTGAAAAACAAAACAATGATAATTAGTACTTGACATTCAAGTTGTGTAAAGTTGTTTATATCAAATGATAATCACACTCATTTGATTGACTTTTCAATGAAATCACAATTAGTTAACCGGTTTTGGTAGTATGTTATTTAATGAATTTTATGGTATAACTCAATGAAGCTTTTGTTTTAATGACCCTTATCTCATTTTCCTGGAAGAAAATTAGAACGGATAAAAACAAACACGTTTATAAATTCTCTATATATAAGTATAAATTACTGATTCATCAAATATTTATGCTCAGAATATTTGCACAAAAACTCGTTGGTAAATTAGACGAAATCTAGGGTGGTGGTTGAAGGTGATTGACAGAAAAGCCTGCTATTTAGCACTTGTCAACAAAGTGAACCTGTATTCTTAAGGGAAATGATGCTCCCTAACGGACTCGATCACGTGTTACCGAGCTTCATAGTTAGAGATGTTACTGTTAAGCTATCAAGGCAGCGACTGACCATCTTCAGGACTGGGATGTATTTAAAATTGATTTATCACTATATAGTGAATAATGTCATGTGTGATAGGTCCTTCTTAACACCTTCTACCAATATGTTACATCGTAAAATAATGTATGCGATTTCAAGTCACCCAGACTAGGAACCAAAATGATCGATAGAATTCCAACTGGATTAAGAAAGAACTGACACACATGACATTGGTCACCATATAGTGATCAATCAATTGTAAATAAGATGAAATAGTTAAGAAATTCTCTCGATTCATTTATCGTTGAGTAGTAAAATCGATCATAACAAATATTTGCCTCAATTGAATACTGGGAAATATTTATATAAAATATCAAGAACTACGATACATAAGATTGAATTTCCAGAGGATAATGACCTTTAACTCCATATGAAATATGACAACAATTTCTTTTTCTAGACATAATTTAGGAATTGAGCGCTTGATAATTGTAGTTCCATTAGATTCCAGATAACTATATCTTTGTCACTTTTTAATCAGTCTGAATGATGTTATAGATTTTTATGTTAGTTCATATACTGATGAAATGTCGAGAAATATATTAGTTGTCGTCATATTTCGCTACTAAAATATATTGCCCTCCGAATATTAATAACCAGTACGAGCAAGATTCAAACATATAAGCTCGAGAAGCTATAACTTGGAATGAGACAGCTGTCAGAGTTTCTTTGGCTTGTCATAGATTCTCAACTCGTCGAATTTATCAATCTTTAAAAAATATCTACACTGATAGAAATCCTATTCTAAATCAATTTTAGCTAACTAGTATGATAATTTCGATAGACAGTGTTATTTATATTCATATAAATATTGATGACCATTCTGAGATTTCACTAATGACGTCTAATGGTCTTATTTTGTTAGTCTTTTATTTCGTTATTTCTTTTAGATTCTGTTGAGTCGGCTTACCGAGAACTGCAACGGAGCCTCCAGAGGCCCTAAAGGAGTTGAAGAGTCCTAGCTAATCAGGGCATGGTGGGGCTTTCTAGAATATCAACGTGGAGTGCTAATATTGGTCAGTAACATAATATGTCTTCTAGCGGATTGGCCAAAATATGATGTTAATTTAACAAATGTTAACATCTATAAATACCCGTGTTTTTCTGTACAAAAATGAACCTTTGGAGTAAAGTGTTTTTCGCTTCTTTTGAGCCTTTTCTCTCGAGTTCAGGTCGCTGCGTAGTTCTAGCTTGCGGGTTACCAGAATAGATTAGGAGCTGAATAAAGCATTCAAATTAACAAGACTTATTAGATTCATATAAAGAAACATGAATAAACAATCAGTAACTTGGTTATTTAAATATTTTGTTTAAATCCCGGTCATGACCTTCTTTTATTTCCCCAGGTGACAATATGAATTACATAACATATTTTGACATGCAAAAAAAAAACACAAAAGATTTCTAATTGTGATAGATAGAAAAATTCTTCTCCCTTAAATAAAAGGATTACTTGGAGATAAACCCTGATTACATAAAAATAAATAGAATAATAGAGTTGGAATCAGAATGAGGTATCTGTTTAGTGTACTATGATTTTCAGTAGATTTTAATTGATAACAAAATATGACATAAATATGTTTCAGATTGAAGTCAGTTAGTTATATACTTTGGTCTGCAAATGTTAAGTAAATAAAATATAAGGAAGGTATAAACCATGACTATGGGTGGTTATTTATATTCCGAGAGCAATATATTTTAGTAGCGAAATATGACGACAACTAATATATTTCTAGACATTTCATCAGTATATGAACTAACATAAAAATCTATAACATCATTCAGACTGATTAAAAAGTGACAAAGATATAGTTATCTGGAATCTAATGGAACTACAATTATCAAGCGCTCAATTCCTAAATTATGTCTAGAAAAAGAAATTGTTGTCATATTTCATATGGAGTTAAAGGTCATTATCCTCTGGAAATTCAATCTTATGTATCGTAGTTCTTGATATTTTATATAAATATTTCCCAGTATTCAATTGAGGCAAATATTTGTTATGATCGATTTTACTCAACAATAGAAATACTTACATAATTAATAAAACTCAAAAATCAGAATGGAACCCGAATAACATCGCCCTGATGCTAAACAGTACCACTGAGCAATGAGGCAAAGATTTTGCTTCTGTTTGTTTGAATCATCATTACTCTGGAAGTCAATGCAACGACGGACAAAAGTAGAAGCAGGAACTTCACCACAAACTCTACAAAATGTGGTAATTCCTTGAGGATGTGCGCAACACGGTTGGCTAAATGTCTATCAAAATCTCCATGCAAACAATAAATACAAACAATTGTTGCTTGATTATCGAGCTTTAAATTGAAAATCAAAGTGTTGAAATCAAATGAATCAACCACAAATTCGACATTACTCTACTTGGTATAAGTTAATACATCAGTTTTCAAATTAAATCCCGTAGCATACATGTGGCGTAAACTCAACTGGGTAAGCAGTCTTGACCTTGAACCTCATTGTTTCTGCTTCGTGTCTTTAGTTTCTTCACTCTTCAACTACAATGCTGCGAAACCATTTGTTTCGTCTCATGGACACCCTCAATGAGACTACATTTCCAAGTTCGTTTAAAATGTTTGACAAATCCAGGCTAGCTTTCTGTTTCATGAATAATCGATACACTCTTGTGACTAACGTACGTGGTCTTTCATTAACATGTCGAACAAAATAATAATAATTTTCATCATAGTACTGCAATTATATTCAACGGGTGAGAGTTGTTCGAAAGCTGTCGCGTTGATGTACAGTGTTTCGACTGAAATACATTTGCAGCTTTCCTCTTCGTTTATAACATCAACTGACCATGTTCTCCTTGACACTATCACAAATCACCCTAGTCAACCGTGTTCCTCAACTAGTCTTCCTCAAATATCCAAGCATTTTCACAACTACTTCGTACCACCTATTTTTGAAATCTACTGATTGTTGGATTGTGAAATGACTGGCGTTCAAGTGACTTTTACTCCATGTGAGCCTTAATAAATATATCTGATCATATTGGACAATTAGTTCTGTATCTAATGAAATCGTGAAGCTATTTGGTTTATGAGTTTGGTTGTGCAGACTTGAACGTAACATTCAGCACCCAAACTGAGCACTAGTTATCCTACCTGCTAATCACAGTCAAACGCTCACAAATACTTACGTTTATCGGTCAGATAATAGTACAAGAGTTTGGTGGAATCTATCACGAATTTCGTTGGGCTGAACCAACTTGTTTGCAGTCCATAACCGATTATGCCGATAATTGATCACACATGTTTGAGAGGGCCGGCAATCCGGTTGAAGTTCTGTGCACACGAGTCGCAAGCATTCATTTTTATATGTGAATTAGACTCTGAACACTTCGACGTATGCTTCATAATACTCAAACGAGTACCTCGAAATACACAGTCATCGTCACCTACATAACAACCATCACACGCTTCGCTGTTCAACAAAACCGTTCATTATTTTACTGTATGTGACCTGATCAACTGACAGTAAAGCCTATCGATTCTTGAATAATCCTCACTGCGAACTAGTTTCACCTTGCCACACCAGGCCACGATCTTCATATCACAATAACAATTTTGATGAGGACACAGCAGAGCGAGTTCGCAACACACAACAACCTTAATCTCGATTGACTTGAATAGAACTTTGTGAAGTGTGTTGACCTGATTCATGTGAATCACTCAAACAGAATTACTAATCCTAGGAATCGATTGCATGACACTTACCGATCCGTTTCTTTGAGCAGTTGCGACTGGGTGTCAACCAAAAACAACTGGCTAACTCACAGGTTTGTGAGTATAAATAGCTCAGAGTGGAGTCCTAAAACAAACCACACGAACACGAAATAGTCACTGGAAAATGAGCATCAAGGTTCCACTCCTACTTGCATTGGTCGTCTCGTGTGAGATTGTGTTCGCCGATAAACTCCATCGTAAGTGTAGTTGTTTACTCTTAATGTCAATGTTTTCACCGTAATTGTGTTGTGATTGCGGTCGAACTGTTCGTATGTCCATCGAAATTCGAAAAACATGGTGTGCAATCTTCCAAGGGTCCGTCGACTGATATCGATGGAAGTTCCGAACGAACTCTGGTTATGACAAACAGAACGCCATTCCATATGTCGAAGTATATGTTTGGTCCGTGAGAGCACATTTGTTCTTCCATCATTGAAGGTTGTGATTTGCCTTACCAAGGTTTCGGAACGCATATCTGAAAGCAGGCAGAAACCATGATTTGTGAGCGTATCACTCACTAGTGACATCTCTCTTTGCCCGATGCACGTGCCTGTGTCATCTAGTTCGTTTAATCGGAGACTTGATTCCGTGTTTATAGTGCTCATTGATTGTTTTGTGTTTTGCCATTTTGAAACAGGAGAATGCATGAGGCCAGTCGATGCTGGAGAAGGAGACAAGGAAGTTCACGTCTTCTACTACAATAAACAGGAGAAAAAATGTATGCCATTTATCTACAAAGGTGAAGGAGGCAATAGAAACAGGTTCTCGACAATGCGAAAATGTGAAGAGAAATGTGTGAAGGGGAGAGAAAAAGAAAAGCCAAAACGCAAACCACATACGCCATCATCACGAGGTATGGTGCAAACCGATAAAGGAATATAGACATTTGGACCACATAATCCAATCCACAGACAAATAAACATGCGTTTCCAAGTCTCTTGTTATCTTGTTCTAATACGCTTCAATTGAACAGGAAGATAGGTTACAGACATCTGACGAAGAGAGTACGTGGTGAACAAGTGCACACACATGCTCTGAAAATATGATCTAGGATGCAGACGAATAACTGGCAAGTTAAATTAAACTTGTGGATAGTGACTGAATAATGAATGATCTGTCCAAAACCTAGGACGATTGACGTAGGCGAAAGTTGGTATGCAGTGTCTGCTTCACTCGAAGGTCGCGTTTATTTGCACTAGCTGTATTCTCCAATACAGCTTGATGTTTTGTTAATTGATTTTGTGTATGCGGGTAGACCGGCTAACACAATGACGGCATTTCGTTGTAGGGTGACAGATCGACACCGACTAACACTTAAGCTACCATCTTAGTACTAGCGTACATATATTAGTAGTTCTTGGGTAAAGAGCTCGATTCAAGAGCCTCATGAAATAAAGGACAGAACCGAGATGCACAATATCCGAAATTAGGTTATTATTATTATTCGATATGTGTGGGTGCTGTGATACTGCCCGGGTGCTCAAACCGACACTGACACTGTAGTGAAAATGAACACCAGCGTTGACAACCGAATTACAGAGTTACTTGCTAAAATAGAAAAACCATACAATAGTATTTAATTTGCAAAATGTTCAGTAATTGTATGGAACTTCATTGTTCTTATATTTCCATACTAATTGCTCTCTATTTCCGCTCTTCCTTTCTTGATCTTCCCCATGTTCTGACACCAGACATTTCATTCCTGACTCGCGTCATATACTGCTTATATTAGTATAAGCAGCACGCACAACGATTGTAATCTTAAAAAGAAATGAAGCCGATTCTTTAGCCGAAGCCAAAGACAACTGTCATTTTAATTGTCATCAATTTGTTCACCCTGTAGCGTGTGTGCAAGGGTCACAAATATTAGTCAAATTATTCACTTATTAAAGATGGAAAAAGGCTAATAATGGAATCAGTGACACATGTCCCGTCGTAATTGGGACTCGTCAGCTGTATGTACTTGCATCGCAATGCTGATGTTTATTCCAGATCTGGCAACTAGTACCGTTCGAATCAAATAACATCACGTTATCCACGTGGCTACTAAGTTCTATTAGTCACTTGTTTGCGACATCTTTGCTTATAGTGCTTGTGTATTAAGGCATTATCGAGGCAGCATGCACAGTATGCACATATGTCAACAGGAGACTGATCAATTTCAGCCCTAAACATCAATGGGAAGATTCAAGTAGACAATACCAAACGAATTTATTCACTGGTTAATTTGAATTATTCATACTTCCTAGACTTCACAATAACATGTAGATGAATTCTTTGCAATTAACAAAAATTTAGAACATTCAATAATAAGGTTTGGATGATAGTTAAAAACGAAACAGTAAATTAAAAGAACAACATGAGATAATAAAATTACACGTTTCATTTCACACTGATAAATGAATAAATAAATAAATCTATCAGTGAATCTTTGGAAATAATTAAATGCGCACTTCTGAGGAGTCCCATATTAGGACAAAACGACCGTTCCGTGTGTTTTTAGGTTTTCCATTAAAAGTCATCACAGTCTCCACAAACGCCCACTCTAATAATCTTTAGAAATAGTTGACTCTCAAAGGAATATTTTTAGTTTCGTATAATCTATTTGTCATTTAATCGCATGTTGTATGAAGTCAAATATAATTCAACAAATAACAAAATCTATGTTTCTATCTAAATATAACTAGTATTCTCTGTTTATTCTTCAACAGATAAACAGGAAGTGTTCAAAGTCTATATACATATATGATCAGAGCTAAACATTATCGATAAGAATTGTAAGTAATAATAGATATATCATAAAACATGACCTTGGAACACAAATGTGCTGTTACACATTCATTTATATATAAATATCATGTACATATAATAAGACAGAAACTTACTAATAGTGTTATTATAAAGTGTATATTCTAGTTATTATAGCAGTGTTTCTTAATTTGTATCATGTGTATGTTGAGACCGCCTGATGCAGTGGCTGCTGATACATTGGCTGTCTTGACCAGTATTTGTTGATGTGTATGGGATAGAAAAGCTGGGCCATCTGCTAAGCACAAACCGTCTATTGATATCCAAATTGTCCTTCGTATTCCATGCTTCTTTCGAAATGTGAAGCTTTTAACATTCCGTCCGACCATGAGAAGAAAGAGAAAGGTTGAATGTAAACAGCCTTGTCTGACACCGGACTTCACTTGAAATACATCTGTAGGATGTCCTCCATTCACGACTTCTCAGTATAGTCCGTTATCTGATTATACTTAGTTACAATAGAATATGCACCTATCGTCAGTTTTGTTACACACCTTCATCGAAATTCTAATTATATGTAAAACGAACACACGCAACTGAATAGTAATTTTCTAGCTGGTTACTAAAATCTTTCATCAAATACATTAGCTTAGCTAAAATGTCCTGACAAATGTTTTGCAGAAAAAAGTACGACCAATGACTTATACCAGCTTAATCATTTTACAGCAATAGAAAAAAAAATATTTTGGGAAGTATAGGAAGGCACCATGGTGAAATCAACTATTAACATTGATACTCTCAAAAACAACAACGAAAAGCTGTTTAAATAATTGTGACAAAAAGAGACATTCATAGATCTTTCTTTGTCACGGTAACATTAAAGCCCACTTTTTCATTGTTTTTTTCTGTTTTCACTTACTACGTCATTCGTTATTCCAACTCTTTCCGAAGTTTAGTATTACATCATTCATAACCGACTGATTCCAATTCATATCTTTCTTTATTACCGTTGATCTATTTTCAGTTGCTTGATTACATAATCATCTAATAATTGTTAACTCCATGAGTTCTATTCTCTATTTCAATGTTCCGGTACTTTCTCTCCCAAATTTTATTCATTCTAACCAAAAATTATATGACCTCATTAACTCTATCGGTAAATTAACAAATCGCCTTAAAATCCAGCAATCTATCTACCCATTCCTCACACCTTCTGATCATTTCAGTGACATCAATGTAAATAACCGGGTTGCTTGCCACAGTATTATACAGGCAAAGTGATTCACAATCAGCAAGTGAAAACGACAATATCACCACCACAGTTTACATTCGGTTGGTCTACAAATATCCAGTTCGTCTCTCCTGTGTGGTTTAGGGAAATCGAGAGTAGTACTCAGGTTGTCTGCGAGAAATATACGAATATATATATATATATATATATATATATATATATATATATATATATATATATATCTGCATGGTATTTACGAGAAATCTACTGGCATATATCGAAGCATATATGTGAGTGAATAAGTATAATGTGCGAATATGAAATAGGTTTGCACATAAAAACCACCACAACCACTTTAGTATTCGGGATTCTGCCCATATCTTCGTTAAATTTACTCATTACTACCGTGTCTTCAGTGCTCATAGATGATCTTGGTTAGTAATACATTTTGGCGTGCTACTATGTACAGGAGGTTATTCACGGCTCGGATAGCTCAGTGGTAACGTCTCTGACTGTGAAGCTGGGTGACACGAGATCGAATCCGCCAGGGAGCACCAGTTCCCTCAAGATTACAGGTACACCTTGCTGACGAGTGCCAAGTAGCACGAAACCCGGGTCCAGGGTTTCCTGTTGACTACCTCCAACCACCATCTAATCTCATTACATAGTGCCCGCAGTGTCGAGTCACCTAGACTGGTGGCCACATTGCAACATGATCGATAGCATTCGATCTGCACTAATAAGGACTAGACAAGCATGAGATTGATCACCACCCAGTGATCAATCAATTGTGATTACATCTCAGTCCTACAGGAGGTTAGTCATGGCTCGGATAGCTCAGTGGTAACGTCTCTGACTGTGAAGCTGGGTGACACGAGATCGAATCCGCCAGGGAGCACCAGTTCCCTCAAGATTACAGGTACACCTTGCTGACGAGTGCCAAGTAGCACGAAACCCGGGTCCAGGGTTTCCTGTTGACTACCTCCAACCACCATCTAACGTCTGGTTCTTAAACATACATGTGTAAGGCTATTGCGAGTTAATCTGAAAACAAAAAGACAATTGATTTTACTGCATTCTACACTAAGACATAATTATGTGAGCCTTGTATTCAACCTAGATGATGACAAGTAGGAGTAAATGATGCTCCAGTAAGTATGTAGTTTCTTAATGTTAAATCGGAAAACATTTGAAAGTGAAGGGTAAACGAGAAACAAATTGACGAAAATCGACCAGCATGTTCGGCAAATAAAAGAGTAAGAAAAAGTTGGATTTTACTTACAAGAGTGTGCAAATATACCCGAAATAAATAAAACAGTGTTCTCGTTCAACTTCCTGTAGTGTCTTCCCTTTACAGCTCACGGTTTAAGTTCACTGACAACAGGAATACATAGAGGAAGTATGTAACACAATTACACACGCTAATGTGATCATTTGCTGATAATGTTGAATACATAGATCTCCGCGTTGTTGTTTGTTCACGATTTCCGGTTCGACAGTTGAGAATAGTTAGAAACACTGTATTCCATTCTCAACTAGAACTTGGATGCTTGTGAGATTGAAGTGACGACCGAACAACACTGACTCGTAACCACACGATTCTTGAAACGGAGCACAAAATGACTGAGGAGATTAGCATTGCTGTTGAGCATATTGAAACGTCTCATTTCACATTCCCTAAAATCAATACTTCGTGATTTCTCAAACTTCCCGGCGATCATGGAAATGTCAAAATTGTTTATATGTTCTCTGAATGATGATGACAAATTTATGCAGTAGCAGCAATTGTGGCGTATTCTTTTGGGTGAGCGTATCATTGTATTATGTTATAAATAGTTGAGGACGAAATGTCTTGACAAAGCATCAATTATAATTTCCATTCTTTAGTCTCACTCACAAGTGATCGACAAAATACTCATGGAGGTAAACATAGGTTTGTAGAGAGATGTCGAGTTGAGGTTAACTATGAACACCGCTACAAAGAAACACGTGCCAAATAAATCAGAAGGCGAAGGTTGGACGTAACCAAATAGATCCATAAAATCTCCGAGAAGCCAAATATCAGAAGACAATTAATGGACCAAGTCGATATATATATTTGCTGGCGATCTCGTGGTATCGAAAGGATACCGAGATCGTGCCAGTATACAAGCTTGGTTACAGAACGTAACCGAATTCGCGCGAAGTTACAATCAAAGTGTGTGTATATGAATGGAGGCACAAAATAGTTGTCATTAGCACAGTCAAACAAAAGCACATTAAAACAAGCACTGGTACAGTTGGTCATAATAATAATAGTTTTTATTAAACCAGTTGTGTTCTCATGATAAATGTGAGTCATTACAGGTTAGTAAAATGCTGAATTTTATTAGACAAATAGTTAGTTAAAATAACAAGTGATGTTCGAAATTTCCTGCATCACAAAGAATGCGGTAACTGAATGTGGGATTTAATGATACATTTATTCTTACTAGATAATATAAATAGTTGAGCGTTTTGTGCCATATATGACACTGTTTGGAATAAGATTTCTTCCCACCAGTCTTCTGTCTACAGACTTGCGGCTTGAAGGGTTCAAGTGTTTGAGTGCTGAATTTGTACGCGGAATAGCAAGAATCTAAATTCTAGATGTAACTCTCCAAGATATCGTCTCCAGTTTACATTCAGTACAACTACACAGGAGTCGCATTTGAAAGGCTAACTTAGTGTGTCAAGCAATCGCAAGATTTATAGAGGGATTTTCATTCCATCCAAATTCAAAGCAGTAAAATTTCATCGCAAATATCCTACTGGTTTCAGTTGAATAGTTTTACTGATTTGTGTGTCAAAACATTTCTCAATATTTGTTTAACGTCGATTCATAGTGGGGTTTCACATAACAACAGACGGCATAGATTTTCACTAGTGTAGAAATCACATTGAGAGTAGAGCTGAAGTTAGCTGAGAAATTCATTCGTAGAAATATTGAATTGGAGGTAGGTAACGATAGCAAATCACAGGACTAATTTCAACAACTACCTTGGTTGACCAAGTCACAAAACTTTGATTGTCTTTCCTACCGCTAATTCACCAGACTAAATAAAATTCAGTCAACCTATGCAAATTATTCGGAGAACCTCAACCAACCACCCAATTCAATTGCAATCATGTATCAACACAACATTATCTTACTACAAGTCGACTCACAAAATGCTTTATTTTCGGATTGTAATATACACTATCGTTTCCCGCAACTAGAATAATTTTCCTGCTTCGATACTGTTGTGCTTGTTGTCACACCAATGATTATTTATTTCACTATATTATCCAGGTTGTTCAAACAATACATTTTTCATACATGTCGTTGCCAACATTCTTTTCGAAATTCTAATCAATACGATAGTTTACGTTTGCATTATAGTCCAGACAAATAGTTCAGACAAAATATATCTCATTTACTGAGCTGTCGAATCCATCACGACTGCCTTGAGTGTTGTCAAACTCTACTCTCTGTCCTCATGTTTCTCTCTCCATAATCGTAGATTATTAGAAGTACTGGAAAATGGAATGGCTTCGAGTGACATTATTTACCTTCCATAACGTTGTCTTACTGCGCCTACTGAGCGAATGCTCGTTTCAAGTAACGGCTTTCACTGTTATATTCGGTGTGAAAAAGTCCATATTGCGCCAGTTCATTGAAGACATATTTCCAAACAATTTACGTTGACGTCTTTATCTATGGCATGTGACATTGCTTTCTGCATCGAAATGTGTTCGTTTATCAAACACCATGATTTCAGCACCACCTTTCTAGTATGACGTTCTCCGTCTTCTCAAGTAAATGGACTAACCATTCGTGAGTGTTGTGAAATCAGTCAGGCATATCGGAAACTATTTCCCGTTAAAACACGTACATTCAGCGTTAGGAGGAATGATACTCACAAAGTGATTCAACCGTTAATCCACATCAGGTTTGAAATTGAGTACTGAAGCATACATGTGGCGTAAACTCAACTGGGTAAGCAGTCTTGACCTTGAACCTCATTGTTTCTGCTTCGTGTCTTTAGTTTCTTCACTCTTCAACTACAATGCTGCGAAACCATTTGTTTCGTCTCATGGACACCCTCAATGAGACTACATTTCCAAGTTCGTTTAAAATGTTTGACAAATCCAGGCTAGCTTTCTGTTTCATGAATAATCGATACACTCTTGTGACTAACGTACGTGGTCTTTCATTAACATGTTGAACAAAATAATAATAATTTTCATCATAGTACTGCAATTATATTCAACGGGTGAGATTTGTTCGAAAGCTGTCGCGTTGATGTACAGTGTTTCGACTGAAATACATTTGCAGCTTTCCTCTTCGTTTATAACATCAACTGACCATGTTCTCCTTGACACTATCACAAATCACCCTAGTCAACCGTGTTCCTCAACTAGTCTTCCTCAAATATCCAAGCATTTTCACAACTACTTCGTACCACCTATTTTTGAAATCTACTGATTGTTGGATTGTGAAATGACTGGCGTTCAAGTGACTTTTACTCCATGTGAGCTTTAATAAATATATCTGATCATATTGGACAATTAGTTCTGTATCTAATGAAATCGTGAAGCTATTTGGTTTATGAGTTTGGTTGTGCAGACTTGAACGTAACATTCAGCACCCAAACTGAGCACTAGTTATCCTACCTGCTAATCACAGTCAAACGCTCACAAATACTTACGTTTATCGGTCAGATAATAGTACAAGAGTTTGGTGGAATCTATCACGAATTTCGTTGGGCTGAACCAACTTGTTTGCAGTCCATAACCGATTATGCCGATAATTGATCACACATGTTTGAGAGGGCCGGCAATCCGGTTGAAGTTCTGTGCACACGAGTCGCAAGCATTCATTTTTATATGTGAATTAGACTCTGAACACTTCGACGTATGCTTCATGATACTCAAACGAGTACCTCGAAATACACAGTCATCGTCACCTACATAACAACCATCACACGCTTCGCTGTTCAACAAAACCGTTCATTATTTTACTGTATGTGACCTGATCAACTGACAGTAAAGCCTATCGATTCTTGAATAATCCTCACTGCGAACTAGTTTCACCTTGCCACACCAGGCCACGATCTTCATATCACAATAACAATTTTGATGAGGACACAGCAGAGCGAGTTCGCA